CTTAAATTTAGAACATCTTGACTGTTTTTGCCAACAGGGCGAGCAAGTTAGGCTTTTTCTTCTTTTTTTTTTGTCAAGCAATACTGGACTCTTCTTTTGTCACGTTTTGCAGTAAAGATTTGGTTATTTGACAATAATTGCTATTTATTACAGAGACAAAGGATGTAAACTAGCTTTGTAGCTACAATCCAGCATACTCACAACAAATGGATAAATACATATTTTAAAATGAGTAAAATATAAAGGTGTTGGCAGTAATGAGAAGAAGCGTAATCAAGTCTTTTCACTTAACCTCCGGGTCTCCTGCAGATTTACGACTTTCTTCCCGGACCTTATTCATATAATGTATTTTTTGTTGTATCCTTTGCTGAAACAATGATCAGAATAGAGAACATAGAGTGTGTAGAAAATCCTTTAGCCCGATCAAAACATTGGGTTTGAATGTGTTTTGGTCAAAGGGGTGGAGCTTGCCCTGTTTGAAGAGATTTTGAGGACTTCATCCAGCTCTGACATTTTTTAGGAACACAAAGCTAAAATCATCTTAACTGCCCATTCCTGATGGAATCCCCAAAACGTTCTTGTTCACATCCATCTCATTTATAAGCTTCTCAAATTTCACTCAAGTATCCACCCGCAGCTCTGTTCTTCTCTCGGGCCTCGGTTTGCTCAGGATGAATGACTGTGGGCTTTAGGCGCTGCACGTACGCACCTACAGAACATTTGTCCTTCGTCATGTGAGGATCCTTCATGAGCGCAGGTGGAGGCGTAAATGTGTCGGAAAAACCAAATAAATCCTAAGGTCGTTTGATGGGATATGGAAGCTGAAAGTTGAACCGCTAAAATATGAAGACAAATTTCCGATTGAGCAATAGTTTCCGTGCGTCACTAAATAATATATATGTACAGGTGCCATAGTGGATTCGATAATGATTATTTAGACATAGTGGGGGGGATGAGAACTATGTATAGGTACCTGTTTGTCAAAGCCTGACCTTGCCATATCTCAAAAGGTAAGATATGTTTTTGCGACAGCGTGGAGAATAATAATAATGCTTCACTGTCATGTTTGTCAGTCTCTGTCGCCCTCACCATCCACTCTGGGCTATAAATGATCATGTTTCTATATATCCATAGCAGTAGCTAAATGGTGCCTCTTCACTGGGAAATGAAGATGGTGATGTCACACTCACTTAAATGTCCAGTCCTACAGTCCACGCCCTTAACCCACTTCACCACTTAGTGTAAGCGGCTTCTGTGGGTTCAAACACAGAGGCAGATAGAATGGCCACTCTCAAAAATGTCTAAATCTCAGCGTGTTGACAGTGTAATGGACGTTTGCATTCCAGCTCAGGAGAAGACCTGAGGGCCTGTGGAAACGTACACCTTGAATACCTGACCCAAATAAGCTGAAAATATTGGACAAATGTGGGAGACATAGTTGTGCAACATTGACAAATCATTTTTCTGAACATCATTAACTTTCATTCTTGTGAATGTTGTAAGAAAAAGCATAAGTGCACTTGATTCTGTGTAAATGGTTTTGTAGAGGAGCAGTGGCCCGTGACTGTAGCCTGCAGCTGGGACTGTGTTCCTCTATGACAGAAAAGCCTCGTGCTTTTGTCTTTAAGCCTGTTGAAGATAAGTGCCTTAAAAATAAACTTCCAAAGACAAAAATAACATTGCAGGAGATAACTGCCCTTTGAGACATACTCAAGTCACACAAGAAGGTTTTATTCAAGAATTATATGACCAGATGTGCAAGAGATACATTTTGTCATCGTCATGCAGCAGCGTGTTGAATCTATTTATTATTTGTCGTTCTTGTAGATCATAGCTTTAAATTGTGTATAATTGTTGTTGTGATAACATTGCAGCTGAGAGACTCCAGCGGGTTCTGGGTCTTTGAGAGGGTCTCAGCCAGGACAGTAGAGCACCTTTATCTAAAGGAAGGACTCCTACACGACTCAAAGGATCCTTTTGTAAAATGTTGGAAGTTGCAGCCACAGCAAAGAAGCCACCAGACATAAACAGATGCCACGTACCAAGGACACACAGGTGATTGGGCCCAACGCCACCACAGTTAATGATGCGGAGGCCATTACAGCTGCAGCGCGGAGGAGATGAAGCAATCAGGGAGAGAATGGGCTGAAAAATACAGTTACGACTGAGACAAGCGTTTGGAACCATGTTCAGCTCTCCTCAATCCTCCTTCAGACTCGGCTTTGATTGATGTGTTTATAATCTTGTTATATCTTGTTATGTTTACTTTACAAAGAAGTTTTAGCAAGTGCAGTCTGTGACCTTCACTAAACTGTGTTAGGACAGTGTGGATTCAATCTCAGAACATTTTGAATAATTAAAATCTAAGACATTTTCAGTTTTCTGTAATTGATCTGTGGCTGAATTGGGCTCATTGGTAAAGATTAAAGCTGGAGAAACAGACAGCATCTCATCTGGAACTGTGCCTTTGATAATGAGATGGTAATTACTGTACTTTAGCATTTTCAACAAGAAAGCTTTAGAGTGAAATCATTTACTATGTCGGTCTGAACAAGTGGGTTTGTGTCAACAATACAAAGAGATATTTACTAGACACAAGCTCAGCTTTATCTGTGTGGACTGTGTTGTAATGTATTTATATTTTCACTTCCTCAGATGGAAAATCAACTCTAAAATTCTATGGACATTTGTTTGAATATATACGATTAAATAGGGATGTTCTGATCAAACATAGTTAGATTTTGTTTTGATTTTCAAAGTCAAGTTTATTTATATTGCACATTTACAACTACTGGAGTCCATGCCATACAGTCTGAGGGTAACACAGTAACACAGTAGTGTGTGGAGAGGCCCGCTCAGCAGCACACATGTTGTTTATGATGTTAAAACAACATATTATCTTAGTTTCTTTACAGCTGAAGTTTACGGACATAAAACACTGTAAAAGTCTTGTTCTGGGCAGAGTCCACTTTTCATTGATGTTTGGGCCGCTCGCTCTCTTGCTGAGATGAGGGAAAGTTTGTGATGGTCCTGGTTTTGTCCTGACGCTGCGTTTCAGTGCGATCAAAGAGCAGAGAGGAGCGAGCTCTGAATAAACATGAGCAGAGAGAGGACGGAAACACACGGATGGATGAACACGACTTTTTACTTTTCAGTAGTCATTGATGAGTGTTTTTATTGACTTGATAAACGTACATTATGTTACATTCAACATTAGTGCGAATGTAGGTCAATAAAACGCAAACTTGTATTTACAAAAAAATAGTTGCGGTGTTTATACTGCAGCAGTATACTCAATTTACTGCAGCTAGAGTCCTGACTAGAACCAGGAAGTACGACCACATTAGTCCAGTCCTCAGGTCTCTGCACTGGCTTCCTGTGGCTCAGAGAATAGACTTTAAAACAGCTCTGCTTGTTACAAGTATTTCCATGGCCTTGTACCAAAATATATTAGTGACATGTTAGTCCCATATGAACCAGCCCGGACTCTAGGGAGCACAGGGACTGGACTCCTGCTAGAGCCCAGTCAGGACTAAACATGAGGAGGCAGCAGTTCAGATTTATCCAGGCAAAATCTGGAACAGTCTTCTGGACAAAGTGAGTCAGGCTTCTTCTCTGATTATTTTAAATTATTGAATGTAGTACGATCATCCACTTTTACTTGTTGTGTGACTTCTCTTTCTTGTGTAAAAGACTTGTCCTGTGTATAAATTGTGATATACAAATAAAGTAGTCTATTTTTAGACCCAAAGGGAATTCCTGACTGCACGTGTGGACCGTCTGTTGTTCTGTTGGAAATGATTCTGTTCATGTTTTTAAAACTAATTCAGCAGGAAGTGTTCGGATCCGGGGCTTTAACTCAGAGCGATCTGGACGAGTCAGCGACTGTGAACAAACATCTCTGTCCAAACACTGACCGTCACTGACTACCACTGTCCAAACACTGACCGTCACTGACCGTCACTGACTACCACTGTCCAAACACTGACCGTCACTGACCGTCACTGACTACCACTGTCCAAACACTGACCATCACTGACCGTCACTGACCTCAATGACCGTCACTGACCACTGCTGCTTCTGTGCCACACTCGATCTATCACTGTGAGGTTAACTCTATCCCTATTCCAAAATCATGTGTCATTCAGAGTAGTTTATTTCTTCGCCCATTTTGTACAGTAGATCTCAGGTCACATGTTTGTATACATTTTACGATAAGAAAAATAAAATAATTGTGTATAATTGTATGAAGAATTTTAGACCTGAATAATTCCTGACCGAAAGTGGTTTAGGCAGAGTTCCTTCAGAATACCTTTCAGAATTCATAATGTGGTAAAATGTTTTCCCTCAAACACATCTTGAACCTATAAATATAAAAACAGATACCAGTGAATCAAAATATAATCAATGCAAAGTAATGTGGACATTTTAGAATGGTTGTAGTCCACACATGTTAAAACTGCATACTGAAAGAAAAGGTAACATCGAGGAGAAAGGGATTGGTCCCTTCAGAAACTGACCATAAAGATTCATGTATGGTCCAAATAATCAATGTTTTTATTGCTTTTCCTTGTTTTTTTTTACATTATTGTTATATGATTTGGTGCACTGTAGATCTGAATATGTTGATCTGATATGTCAAATCCAGGCCCTTTTTATTTCTTCAACGCATGTCTCTGCTGTCCCTGAAACTAACTAAATTACTAAATTATTCTTTTAGCAACAGACGTCTTCAATAGAGGGAATCAATCCTGAACGGATGCATTTTGTGAACTTAATAATTTTCCCATTTCACAATTTCATCACTTCTCCAAATCCAACTTTTAAGACTTATCTTTTTCTTTCTCAAAGATATTGCGTGTTTTGGGAAAGTCCATTTCACTGGAGAAGAACCCTGGGAATGCTGTTGTTTATTCCCAGCTGTTGTGGTGTCATCAGTTCCAGATTGTGATCCGTGGGCAGAGAGAAAAGCCCAGTGTGATGTGAAGTCTCTTTGTGTCTCACTTCAGAGCATTGTCCTCCTCCTCCTCCTCAGTGAGCTCAACCTTCATCACCTCTCACATGTTTTACAGTTAGAGCCACATTAAGAGATGCTTCATTCATCCCAGAGTGGGGACATTTCAGTGAAGAGAGGTTATGTCTACGCCCATGGATCAAAACGTCCAATTTAAGTTTATGTTATTGGTGGAATTGTTAGTTTTGGTGTGTAACTTACAGGTGAAACAATTGAATATG